CGGTGCTTTGAGGCTTTGACCTCTGTTCGCAAACTGTGATAGCTACGTATGATTCAACACCGTAAGTAAGAAATTTTGATAGTTTTACAGGAGTGTGTCGAGGTTACTGTATGTCTAATTTCTGTTATGGTTTGCTGAACAGAGATGATTGAGCTTTGTGGACTTGCGTGCATTGTTAGAGATGAAATTGTTAAAGAATGTTCTCACACTGAGTATCCTTGGGTGTGAATTGTCCTTTCATACTTGAGGAATCTCTTTGCATCCACCGGGACAAACTCTAGGGAACTTTGTTGCAAGAGAATGCATGTTTTGGGATATTCCTGCACTTTGATGTTCAAGAAGGATGAATGCAAAGGTATTTCTGAAATGGTGTTGTGGACACAAAGGATATTATTGTGATGCTTTTGTTTGAAACATAGTCACTGCCTTTTTCTTTCCATCTTTATGTTGCCTCCTGTCCTCCTCAGAAAAAAAAAAACCCAAACACATTTGGTGTTTGCCCATTAAGGCAGTGGAGAATGACAAACCCCAAGCCAGCCTCAAGCGCACCAACTTTGGAAAATCAAGAGGTGCAGTCGTGTCTCCTTAGAGAGATCCTTATTTTGCTGGTTAAATCCCATTTCTGTGCCACAAGCCGATATCTCTGCATGAGGCTGCACTGGACCACGTGGCCATGGTGGGGTACTTTGGGGGAGTTAAGTGAATCCAGTCCCAGCCCCACATAACTTCTAAATAAATGCAACACTCACGTATTGGGCAGGTCGTGCATCTATTGATTCGGTAGATCCTGTATACCTTTCTGCCTAATATGAATTTACCTCTGAATAACTTACTCAACTTATGCAGCTAATAACTTATTCAATTTAAGCTGTCAATATTGTTCAGCCTTCTGCTTCCTAAGAATGTGTGCACTTTCTTTTTACCTGCTTTTTCCCTATCATCTGCACCATAACACCATTCATTCTGCTTTGCTCTCCAAGATCCATATTCATCCTGTAAGGAGGACTGCATTCCACATGCATTATTTCAAATGTAGCTTAAACATTTCTCCTCAGGAGGAAAACATTTAGGACCAATAGTATTTTATTTAACATTTCTTTTGAAACAAATATAATGAAAATGAAACGGATTTTTGGACTGTGTCGTACCTCTCCCCAGCTGTATTTGAATAAGCAGATGGTGCTTTTAAATCATTTTCACTGGGTTTTGTTTTTCTGTTTGTTGACCCACACAAACATATTTCTTGTGAAAGGACTCATCTTGCACATTAAAACTTCCCTGATTTCATTAGAAGCTGTGGGTATACAGAGAAGGGACTTGATGAGCTCATAGTCACCCTTACAAATTTTTTCTAATATGTTTTCAAAACCAATAAGTAACCAAGAAGGTTAAAAGGAAACATTATTTCTAACTGTCAAACACAGCTAATAAACTAAATTTATTGCCAAATTGATGTATAGCATTTGTTCTCCTTTGCTCTTTGGGGACCAGAATGAAGAACAGAGCTGTGCAAGATATGTCTTATGCAAGTAGATTGGTCTTCCTGGGATTTTTACGTTTCTGCATATCTAGCATCAGAAACATGTAGCTCTTGAGCAGCACAGAAGAGGTCACAGATCATTGCTAGAACATCATATCTTCTGGGCCACATCGATTAGCACACAATTTTGGAGAAGCTCATGATGCTGGTACCAGTAATGGGCCTTTTTTTTTAAGAGACATTGAATTTTCCCTTTTTGCAAGAACAAATATAAAACCTTTTTCATTGCTAAAGAAATGAGGAAATAAATCCTCTTCCCGTCTTGTGTCCTGAAAAACAGATACAAAATTGTGCCCATAACAGATATCTTCTTAATGTTCCAATGGCTCTTTCCCACTTGTGTGTTTTCCACATCTTCAGAATCTCTTCAGAGGTTCAGGTTAATGAGACATTGTTCTCTGTCATGAACATCCCTTGAGGCATTTTTCAGCATTCACAGTTTCTACCTAGAAAGATAACAGCCATGTCAAAAGTTCGGCTGGCTGTTCATTTTATTTAAATGTACTTCTTTTGCTATTGCTTGCAGATTAAAAATAGAGAAGTCTGCAAGGGAGATGTCTCGCCAAAACCCTACATTTTGGATAAAGATCTTTATTGCTTGGAAATGTCAAAATCTGGTAGGACACAGCAGCCTTGACACAAGTGTTATTTCTTAAAATATTGCTTTGAACTGTTATATAAAACCTATTTTAACTTGAACTGTATTGGCAGTGAATAATAGATACCATAACAACTTTATATATAGCACTGTAAAATGTGCCATCAGAAATACATGAGCTGAACTGTAATGTGCATTGTCAGTGCTCAGTGCTGGCACAGGCTCTGTCATAGCAAATATATATAATTTAGCATCCATGCCTTTCATTGGCACCTGTGGTCATGTGAAAAATGGAAGGAGATAAAACTTCGAGGAGAAACGGATAACCATTGAATGGAGAACTTCAGAATTTCATCTGGTGACTGGAAAGACCTATAAAAAAAAGATGCTAAATGCCATATTGATTCAGAAAGCCTCCAGTGATCCTCCCCATGCAGCTAGCTTCTCCAGAGGTGATGAAAAAGGAAGATGAGATGAACCCCTCCCAGACCCCACCACCGTTTCCTTGGAGTCACCACCAGGTCATCCCACCTTCTCCACAACCCTCTTTCCTTTCTTATAGCAGTCTCCTGTCCCACTCCTGTGCTTCCTGGGCTGCTAACACAGCAGCGGACATTCTCCTACCATGAAGAGTGGGGAATAGCTGAGACACAAGTATACCAGGGAAAGGGCAGATTTGGAAAGCAGGGCTTGCTCCTGGTATTGGGAATGGTTGTCCCTGAAATAGCAAGGTTCACTTCATCAATCCTGACTTCCCTACGCTCCTTTTTCTCTCCGCCCCCACAGGAGGAGCAACAGCAATAAGAGCTCAGCCCATGGAGGTAGGCAGCTGCCCATTTTGTCAGCTACCAAACCTGACACTACCAGGACCAACCACATCACCTCTCAGCCCTGAAAACCAGCAGATGCCAGTCAGTTTATACAGATAATTGCAGTTACCAAATTACTTAGCAGTCTGGAAGTTAGTCATTCAGATCAAATAAATACAAGGTAAGTCTAGCTGAAACACAGTTTAATGATTAATCGCTACTGGATGGACAGACATTTCAAACTAGAGACCATCAGTTGCAGATGCCTGTGCAGCCATGGAGAGTGGCCCAGTGGAAGGGTGCTAGGAAAGCATTTGGAGAAATTAGTTCAAGTGTCAACTCTGCCATCAACTCCTTATGTGCCCTGGGTACTGGTCATACTGATCTTAAGTCACTTACCTATAAAACAAGGCTGAAAGCTTCATCCTACATCTCAGAGGGAATTGGGAGGATAAGTTGTTTAGCATGTGCCTTCCTCATTTCGGTCAGAAGACACAGTAAATAGCAAGAAGGACACCCCCACCTCCTGCTCCCTGGGGTATTTCCACAGGTTTCCATTTCTTTCTTTTTGTATTTATGCATAACTCAGGCATTATCTTGGCTGATGTGAGCAGGTGGACCATTTTCTCCAGTAATATATGGTCATCAGAGCATGAGAGCCAATGCTGTCTGGTGACGCTTTGCTAACTTTTGGCAAGTGAATATATGGCGAGAATACCTCCATCCAGTTTCTAATCATCAATTGAGGATATCCTGAAGAAAGCAAAACATGCCAACAGAACTTCATTTTAGTCGATGCTTCTCCTGGCAAAAGAGAAGGAGAGTTGGATAGGGTGTGGCAACAGGTGTGAGGGAAATGCTTTTGTTTTTAGGAAAGGTTGTTCCCTCTGGGTCGGTGTTGAGAAATGTTGATGTTCATTCCCTATCTGTTTTGAAGAGAAGTGATAGATGCCAGCCTCCACCCCTGTCAGTCAAGCATTTGTAAGCAGACAGAAAATGAAATACAATAAAATAAAACAAAAAAAAAAGCCCCACAGAGTCTGTCAGTGTGTTTGTTAGTTCAGACATGTTCTTTGTTCAGTCATTACTATGTATCATTTCTTGCTGAGAGGTATTTTCAGTAAAATCTCTCACTGATGCTAG